ATTTACCGTACTGTATGAACTGCATAGGGAGAAACTAAGAGTAGATTAACATAAAAAGCGCGTTTGAAAAAAATAGTTCATTTGAAACCGAGTAGTCTTTCTACATAAATACCATTGAATACTTTGACAAAGCTAAGAAAAATTTACACTTATTTTTCCAGCAATTTTGTTTTAATATTCTGCACTGTACTGCTATTCAAGTTTGTGCTTTGTTGTCATGTTTATGCAGATAATGATTAATAAAAAAGTATGATTTCAAGTCTTGATTTTCAGCAAGTCTTTGTCTTGTCAAAATTCATCTAGAACGTTCACAATAAATACTAAACTTCAACATTCTTCAAGGAACTCTGGTTAAAATACAACTGAGTGTCCTATCCAGACACCTGCAGCTTACTGTAATAAATTGACAGAACTGCGGACAGAAATTTCTGTATCTCTTTACCAAACTGTGCATATTTGCCACCAATGTAGAACCCTATGTTACTCTCTCATCAGGGGTCACGTGACTTGAGATTAAAGCTGGAATTTTCTCCATAGGTTTCGTACATGTTTTTCTGCTACGCAGTATTATAGATCTTAATGAGATTAGTCCTGATCGTCGGCTGAAAATTGCTATGAGAACGAAAGAAAATCGTATTTTTTTCGTCTTTGTTTGATTACATGTATACCCAAGAGTCTAAATATCAAATAATATTTTAGAATTTTCTTTCAGTTTAAACGCAAATCACATGACATCATAAAGGAGCAGCTTTTTGCATAGGCGGGTGTTTTCAGTCCACTGACTTTGTACACATTTTCAAGCCACTATTTTGAAACTTTCGCCATGTTTGATCGCTATGAAAGTGATATGGAACAAAGACCCTTAGGCAAGAATTCTTTAAAGAAATGACTTCCTGATGACGTCATCATGTGATTTACTATTGATTTTTCAATATTTGTTTCAGCTCATTGGCTTGGTACACATTTTCAAGCCACCATTTGGGCAATTATCAGAGGTTTGATCAGCATCAAAAATACACACAACAAAGACCCTCATTAAAGAATTTTCCTAAAGTTATGACGTCATGATGATGTCATCACCAAACAGAAAGTTCCGAAACAGCTCAGCGGTTGTTCACCTCAGTGGTTGTTCACAACCACGTTCCTCTAGTTTCTTCTTCCTCTTCTGACCAAAAGCCCATTTGTTTTGTGCACGTTTCTTCCACCATTGACTTTAAATATTATGTTTATGTTGTAAAAATCCATATAAAATCAACCGTAGTCTCCCACAGCGCTCTGTTTGCGGCGAGCGCCAGAGTAAAATTAGGTCGACAATTCATCTTTTGTAGGTCAAATCACGTGACACTTCCGTCCAGTCGAAACCGGAAGTGGGCTTATTGTTTAGTTAATTAAAAATAGGAATCAAGTTGTTCTCAACGGTGTTAGTCTCCTGGATTCTGCAAATCATCTACTGGAGACGTCAAGTAAATGTCAAGCGCCCTCTAGCGAGAAAAATTCTGAAAAATAAATTTTGAATGGATGTCTGTTGCGAAATTTGTCCGAATAGCCTGAAAATTGATGTGGACAATTATCTTAACCCAGTTAACACACGTAGGAAATTTGGGGCCGATGACGTCATCAGATCGGAAGTTATGATAAAAAGCTCTTTTATTCTACAAACTTCGATTAAAAATCAACAGTAACAGATTTAAGCATGAATTG